TCGGGGCCACCTGTCTGGGAGGGGGGGGGGGGGAAGAGACAACCGTATGCCGAGGCGTCGCAGAGTTAGCTTTCTGACAGGGAGGGCATATGCCGTGACCGTCAGAAAACACGCAAAGTTAAGAGGCGGAAAATACGGAAAATTTGAGACATGTGGAGCATCTGGGCTATTTGAGTCATGTTAGGAATGTAAAGCAGATGGGTAAAGACTAGAGCATGCCATGCCAGCAGACAGTTTAATTAGTAAATGATGATGGGATGAATGGTTCGTAGGAATGCGAGACGACACACGGATTAGAGCCACGAAAGGAGAGCGAAATGGGTGGTAGTTCAAAGTTTGAAATTGTTCATTTAGCACAGAAACTCAAGAAAGTAAACAGAAAATGAACTAATTACCTATATTTCGATTTTGCGAAAATGCAATCAGGTTTTTCCTACTGGCTTTACCTACCTTACCCATATCGACACAAATACAGCTTATTATTTTTGGGCGAAAGCCGCCGAAATTTAGCATAAAAAACAACATTTATAGCTTCTAGCTGCGTGACTCAGCAGGCACAATCACGGCAAGAGAGTCAGCTATGATCCTATTCATCAGACACTCCAGACTCGGCCGAGGCAGACCGTTCCTCCGCCGTTCTCAGTCTCTCAGTATGAGATGACTCAGAACCAGCCGAGGCGGGCGAAAAGGACAGGGGTCAGGGGTCGAGGTCAAAGGTCACAAGCCAGCTCAGCCAAACCTCTAGAAGGTCTAGACAACAAAGACTGTGGACTTCACGCACTCACGAGACTTGAACTGCGTTTGCAAAAGAGATGACAAGGTACGATTAAAAGATCATCAGTTACTGCAGAAAATGTGATCATTTTGTAGTTGGGAATTCAGCATTTAAGCCTGAAAACAATGCGCTTTATAAGACCTTTGACTCAGTACACGTTAAAAAATGCCAGAAAAATGCAACTCCGAAACGGTTTCGATCTTTTTCAAACCTACAAAAATCTGGACTTAGACTGGACTGGAATCACTATCACGTATTGCAACACGTTTATCGGCAAAGAACAAAGCGCATAATCACACTTTTTCTCTCCCGCGTATGCCAAGAACTACAGACTGGTCAGACCAGACGGGCCCACAGCGCACCCAGACAGGGTCACTAAGGCCGGGTCACACCGGACGGTAACAGCTGGGCTGTGGCTGACCTTGAACTTCACCTCAGCACGCTCCATCGCACATCAAACGGAGACGGGTCGGGAACTTCCGCTATAAACGAGATGCTGCGGTAGGAAAGGAAAGCATAGCAGCTCGGAGGCCTCTTGCACCAAAATCCTCTTGCACCAATGCTTTTTTTTATTTTTTTTTTAATTTTTTTTTTTATAAATTTAGTCCGAATGGTTGAATGGGTGGATTTGAGGAATCAGGGCCCGCACTAAGCATAGCTTGTTGTGCTGACCCTGACCCCACCACCCGATCGCGCAATTCCAGTTGTATGGCAGAATTTTGTCCGAACGTTTAACGTGCCCTCACGACTGGGCACGGCCCCCTCCGCTCACTCACGTTACCTGGCTTCTGTGCGGCCCCTGCCACAGACACGCACGCCATTACACGTAGGAGCTAAATGTGGCCGCCCTCACCGGGGCTTGAACCGGGCTCTCACTACCGGCTAAGCGTCGGATTCCGGCGCTTTAATCCACTCGGCCACGGAGTGGACTAGTGGATTACGATATGGGTATACGATGCAAAATAATGCTTGGATTATTTTGCATCGTATACCCAGTCCAAGTCTCAAATGTAACAATTTGAGTGCAAAATTTAGCAAGCACATGTAGGATTATGTGTTGGGCTATTGCAAACAAATTTACCACCGTTAGATTAGCTTATTCTGAAACCGGTTTTTCGATTTTACCTAGGTAGGTAGTTTGGTGCAAGAGGCCTCCGGCTCAGATGTCCAACCGCCTCGAGCATTCATGTTTCTTCTCGCTTTTATAGATATGGCATGATGAGGATACAACCGAAACGCTCATGTCATGAGGAAATGTTAGATAGTGAATAGATGGTGACTTGCTTTGACAACATCCGAGATTACGAATGACTAGACACTTATCTGGGTGTCCGTCAAAATTCGTGGAGATATGCTGTCCCACGATTTCAATAATGCCTCACGTCAATAAATGAGCTTATTTCAGCGTAACACGGGGTCCGTACGCGAGATTTGGACATTCGATTGAAGAAAAAAATCATTGAAAAGGCAACAGCAAAGTGGCAAAAAAAAAATGGACATCTTTCCAAAACCGTGCTTTTGTGTGCCTATGTATTTTAGCTTGTCCCACAACCTGCGAAAAAAATCTACAGCGCTGCTGTGTAGTTATTTTTAGAGATAATTAAGCGCGAGGGAGCGTTGTGAATAGCAAAAACATTGAAATTTCTCTTCATGGCTCTTATTTTTTGGTTATACAATTTAGCAAAACTGCACAACGCAAAAACGTCTGTCCCACGGTTTTTGGCAAACTTTTTTCTGGGTCACGTTTGTTTCTGGGTCACGGTACTTAGCTCCTCATTCAAAGCATTACGGACCGGGTAAGCAGGGTCTGCAGACTTGCATATGGTCCTATCCCGCGAAGGCGCAGAAAGCGGGGGCGGAAACTGAAAACTGTCAGTTGGGCTGGGCGAGCCCAGGGGAAATCATCTCCTGCGTGCCATAAGATTTCTTTATTCTGGGTCACACGCCCTTGTGGCTTGTGGCTGGTAAGTGTCGAAAAGAATCACAGTGTCGTGTTGCTGCGTGCTCAGGTACTCAAGATAAGATGCACTTGGAGATTAGTATTCGATAACAAACTTGCCATATTCGGAAAACTGTAAAAACCATTCCCCTGGGTCACGCATTTTTTTTCTTCTGGGTCACGAATTTTAGCGTGACCCAGGAAAAAAATCGTGACCCAGAAGAGAAATTCTGCCCACCTACATCATCAAGACATGCAAGTCTTTCCGCCTACGTGTGGAGAAGGTCATTGCCGATAAGGGGGTTATATCGCGCATGAGGTGAGTGAACGTATCTGGTTTGATAATGCGTGACCCAGAAGAAAATTTTATATTTTCTGGGTCACGGACCATTTTACGCGCATGCGCAATGGCATTTTTGAATAATTTCAACTGTGAACAGCCTAGGGTGCATGGTTTATGAAAAGGTAATGATTTCTAGGAAATCAGTTGTGGGACAAATATCGACCCAAATCTCCACGAATTTTGACGGGTACCCATCTACTATAAAAAAGCTCTTAAACGCCTACGGACTACCTCTGACCATTTGTTCTCCACATGCCGGCACATGTCGCGACAAACTTCACAACATTTCCGAATGGTAAGACATTACGGTCTAATAAATCTTCTGCCCTCCTGTTGCACCTCCGCCATGAGCAAGAGCGAGAGGGCGAGAGCGAGGGGAGAGTGGGAGAGGAGAGAGAGAGAGAGAGGGTTGGCGACGAGAGCGGCTGACCTCTGTCGGCTTTGGACGGCCGGTCAAGTGACCGATTTGGCCCGGCCCCCGTGGCACGCGGCACAAAGACAGCCCAAAATAGACACCGCTATTACGGAGATACTACGCCACCCGAGGTCGGACAAATAAACAACAGAGGCCGGGCTATCAGATGTGTACAAGATGGTAACGATGACAGCAAGTTTAATTGGCAGCAGATGTAGCCATTAAGGCCGCATTTCGGTATCAGCTTCTTTAGATGTTTGTTGTTTAAACACATGATCGCCCATTCACCTCAATGCCACAATATTGCGACACATCCCTTACCAAGGTCATGGCCACGGTTCCTCCCAAGAAATTAAAGAAGCTCGACTGCATGCCAGTGACAGTGCGATTAAGGAGGAACGACCTCAAACAAACAGTACAAACCAGTATAACGCCTTATGGGGCGACTAACGGAGCGAGCGAGAGGGTGAGCCTTGCACGTGCGAAATTTCGAGGGGGTACCTCCAACTGACTTGTGCACGGCACCCTACTCACCGGTCTCTAGCGATGTGCCAAATTTGAGCACAATCGGCCCAGCCGTTCTCGAGATCTGGAAGCGGCACCCTGCACGTGCGCACGTGCAAAATGGGTCCCAACTGACTTGTGCACGGCACCCTACTAACCGGTCCCTAACTGCGTACCAAATATGAGCGCAATCGGTCCAGCCGTTCTCGAGATCTGGAATCGACCCCTGCACGTGCGCACGTGCAGCAGCACCTCAACTCCGGCACATGGATATGCAGTGCCTAATGGGTGCCTACCTATATGCCAACTTTCAGCGCAATCAGCCAAGTAGTTACCGAGATATTGCAACAATTGCAAAACTGACACCTCTTCGTTTTGCACGTGGCACGTGCATAAGGGGTCACCCACATGCATCGGGAATAGTCCAGTGCTTGGTAGAAGGAATGAAGACACAAATTACCGCGTGTAAATCGGTCAAGTGGTTGCTGAGATATAAGCCTCGCAAAAGCGTCCGCACGGCCGGCCGGCCGGCCGGCCGCTCATACTCAGAAATTTCCGTTAATCTAAGGAAAGACTACGCTCGCTTCGCTCGCTCCGTAAACACTCAGATGATGACGCTTTTATCCGTTATAGTTTTGGTCCATCATTCTCAGATACAAGGGCGAATGACAAGACATGAGCGATATTGTTCTAACAACTTTTCCCATTGCAACACCCAACTACCCACCAGCCATCACGCAGTGCCCTGGCCACTTTTATCCGCCTCCCACAGTCCGTAGCGAATATCACCCCACCATCCATCTACCACTCACCACCGACCACGTTCCCTAGCACTGCAACTATTCCCGCTTAACGCTCATCCCATCATTACCCAGCACGGCCCCTATTTTCCTTCACCCCCCCCCCCCACCACCACATCCCACAACCCAGCACGTCTTCCGCCCATCCCATCAATCCCACCAAGGTCTTTTATCTACCCATTTCATCACCCATTCCCACCACTACCCCCGCCCCCGTCACTAACCGGTGCGCAGCTCTGGACTCCCTCGCTGCCGAAAAAGTACTCGCGTCCGAACGCCACCACGCCTGTGTGCCAGATCCCCTCGACATGCTGACCTGTGGACAATATAAGCAAGTCAGGACAGGGATGCATGCTGACCTGTGAAAATTACAGTCGTCTGGAACGTAAGGGGCGGGAATAGCTGATCACAGACAAGGTATCGTACTACATACTTCAATAACACTCTTAGCATCCGCCACGGAAAAGTTAAAAAATGTGTAGGTACAAGAAACCAGCAGTCGTTAGCTAATCTAACAGAAAAATGAGAAAAAAGTTGTCAGCTGCGCTTGCATTGCATGGACGTCCAGCAGCGCCATTCAATGTTTGACAAACTATCAACGGCGATCACACCAACGGCCACCCGACAAGCAAGAGGCGACCAAAGATATGGTTTTAGGTTTAATGCACCCAAAATGCTGACAGTCGACACCAAACATCAACATACGTACAGAATCATAACCACAATCACAATCAAAAACACCAGCTCAGAGGCGATGATATTGACAATAGCGGAGTACTCAGACCACAGAATCGATCGACTACAGGCGATGCATGAAGCAGGGGTGGACAAATGTGCCAAGTTGGGGTAGCACGGGCGCAGCTAATCCGCCGCCGCCCTAGCGGTGACCTTGACCTCCGCCGGCTGTTGCGGCTCCAAAGCCAAGCCGGCATGGAATTGGGAAAGCTCATGCTACCCCAACTCGGCACAAATATCCATCCCTGGCATGAAGCAAACAAACATATAATTCTGTAATTTAAAAAAAATATTCGTTGTTGTTCCATTTACACAGCAATTAACAATATTTGCCCGCCTAACACCAAAGGCTGAAATAGCGTGACGGGATAAGCAAGAACTAGGACAGAAAAGTGTTGAGCAAAAACGAAGACAGAAAGGCAAAAGTAGAAAAACAAAAACGACGTCTGCGAGGGAAGAACGGTATTTGCCAACGCTTTAGGGTTTATCTGAAGCGTGCCAAATGACATCTTACTCTCACTGTGACTGGGAATTTCAGATGAGATAAAGCTAGACCCAGAAACTATTGAGCCGGAATCAGACACAGTCCATCATATCTTAGACCATTCGGCTCACATTCACCCGGACACGACAGTGACCCAGACGGCCTAGACACTGACCCAGCCCGTAGAGTACTCGACCCACATAGTGGGAACAATAATTCCTCCATTGCATCAAACCTGTGACGAAGAAGATTCTACGACAACATTCTATCACGAAGACACAAATGGACTTCCTAAGCAGTGGTCAGCAGCACACCGTGTTACGACTTCGGCACAACTCGAATGACAGTCACCTAGCTGCGCCTGTGACAGTATAACAAAACCCGTCCAACGGAACATATTGCAGAATGCACAGCATGTCGCGGGACTTGGGAGAACAAACTCACGGCGCAAACAAATACCGCATTCAATTACCGTAGACACAGACATCCTGGGCTGAAAATACGGCGCCTGGGAAGCACTCACAAAGAGGCAGACGTTCGCCTTATCCCACTAAGTAAAAGCCCAGAAGACTTATGCTAGCATCCCACTTTATAATTGAAGCGTACTCACCGAGCAGGGCCTGTGAGAACATCTGCGCCAGGCCCGCGGTCAGGTCGTAGATGTAGACCGACACGGAGGAACTGGCGGCCTCGTCATCCGACATGGTGGCGGCCCGTCAACGTCGGCCTTTCAGTGGCGGCCTGTCAACGTCAGCCCGTCAGCGGCGTCAGTAGCGGCCTGTCAGCGGCGTCAGTAGCGGCCTGTCAGCGGCGTCAGTAGCGGCCTGTCAGCGGCGTCAACGTCGGCCCGTCAGCGGCGGCCTGTCAACGTCGGCCCGTCAGCGGCGTCAGTGGCGGCCTGTCAGTGGCGTCAGTGGCAGCCCGTCAGCGTCTTACGAGTGGACCGACGGACTGACGGACCGACGGACTGCTGGACTGAAGGACCGAGCCGGTGGACCGCTACGAAAACGAGCCGCTGAGCAGACGGAAATCCTGCGGAAGAGAAAAAGAGAGGGAGGGATGTCAGAGGGCTGGCCACTATAATTCGCTTTGATGAGACAAAAAAAAGAGAACATTGACCAATTATCCTCAACGTTAGAAAAATGTAAAATAATAATGAAATAGTAATGAAATAGTTTTATTTTTATTTAAATCAGCAAGTAAATATATATGTCGATATATTTCGGATACAACTCTTTATCAATCGCTACAAGTAATATTAACGTTGAGGATAGGTAATTGGTCAATGCTCTCTTTCATTATAAAAATGTTATTCCTGACAACGCTCAAATATCTTAAAAAAAAGAAACATAGAAGGACATAGAAGAGTAGAGAGTTGATCGCGGAAAGTTTCATGTGCACGGGTAAGACTTCAGAAAACGAAGACGGGGAGTCATTGACAGGAAAAAGGTGCAACAGATACTAAAATGACCGAAACTCGAGGAATTGTTACAAATCCACACTTCCATACATCTCCCACTAATTGCAACGAAGCATCTTTTGCTTGCAACAGACAATCTTTCGCTAAAACAGCGCTGGTGTGAGGAGGTAATGCTTCAAGTCGCAGTACAGTATACACACTGCCACTGAATGCAGATAACGAACACAGCACAAACAACCTTAAAGGTAGTGTGCCAGCTTTCCTGGACCGTATGGAGTTAATGGCCCAGATAAGGAGAACCGGATTTTTAGAACTTATCCATACCTTCAAAACTCATGGAAACGTCTTAAATTCTTCAAATTTTGAGTACCCCAGTGCGAAATTCGCCCCGACGGGTTGTCGGTCGTACCCCAACTACATTTCACACCACTATGAACAATAAATGCACACACTGAAATCGCTATTACCGATATGCTCATCCAATCAAGTTTCGATAAACCCGTTCATCATCATCTCCTGCGGTTTCGAACACGCCTGTTAGGTGGTGCGGTAGACCGCGCCCAAAGCCAGGGCCCCGGTAACGTGAGGTAGCCGAGTTTCTTGGTTGTTTAACGACGCATCCAAGAAACTCGGCTAGCCGAGTCAGCCGGGGTCGCGCGTCCTCCCGGTGTCATGTGATAGCCCGGGGGGATGCGGTAGACCGCGCCCAAAGCTGCGGCCCCGGCTTGGGTCAGCGCACGCTGCACCGACTCGGCTACCTCACGTTACCGGGGCCCTGGCTTTGGGCGCGGCTTCTGCTCATACTTTGTGGTGCGGTGGTGGTGCGTCGGGCCGCGCGCTCTGACTTCGGCCAAGAAAAATGCGTCAGCTGATCATTGTCATTTCTGCCACTTGCGTGTGGTGAAATGGGGTCATAACTTAAGAGACGGCTTTTTCATATCAATTATTTTACATAAAATCATATTTCAAACCATAAATAATGTTCGACAGCCAAGTAAAAGAAACAATACCAATACAGGCTTACAGTTTAACCCTATTCCTGGCGGGGGGGGGGGGCCTCAGGAGCCCCCCCCCCCTGAGGTTTTTTGGTTATTTCTCCCAAACGCGTTGAGCTAGGAAGCTCAAATTTTCTGACTTTTCCTAAAAGGCTTTTACGCAACATGTCTGAAAATTTTGAATTGATCTGACCTCAGGTCAGGTCACCAGAGGCGGTTTGGTGACCCTACCTCAGAAAAGTTTGCAATCACGCCAGAGCTAGAGTTTTTGACCGATCAATTTCTTCTCTTCAGGCTTTAGTTAGGGTACCAGTATGTGCAATTTGTATATCTCGGAATTTTGATATCGGTGACCTAAGGTCAGGTCAGTTTCGCGACCTCCCCATTATAAGTCAATGGGGGAAAAATCAACTCCCTGTTTTTACCACTAAAACGGGTCGGAATGGCCCCATATACCATACATGACTTCATATACGATCAACCTTCACTACCTTGAGGTCTGTTTTGCTGTTGGGCAGCTGTGAGGTCATGTGACGTCATCAAAGGTCACCAAAGGTTTTTGGCCAATAACTCCGTACAGGAACAAGATACAGACGCGTGGATGGTCTCATTGTGTTCAGCTCGTCAAGACGCATCGAATGATATACATGATGACCTCGAGGTCACGTGACCTGAGGTCAACCTTTGACCTTGACCTTGCGAGGTCAACATATATATCATTCGATGCGGATTGACGAGAGGATCACGATGATGCCCTTAGTTTGTTCCTATCTTGACTAATTCGAAAGTTATTCGAGAAAAACTCTCTCCATATCTAGCGCCGCCATTTTGACTTTTTCGACCCCTGTGACGTCATCTTTGACCTGACCTGAAAATGACCATAGTAAAAATTGTAGATCTTGACCGTGCGTATCCGATGCCGTTTACCGTTTGTCGCTATCTTGCTTCGTTCTCGAGATCTCAGGGGGGGGCCGAATCGGCCCCCCCCCCCGCCAGTTTCTTGTCCCGGCGGAGCCCGCCAGGAATAGGGTTAAGGCTCGACATTGTGTTGTCTACGATTAGACAGCTGATAACTCATTCCCGTATGTCGTAACTCTATAATGACCTTTACTTATTGTCACATGTGCGCCGCATTCGCGATTGTTGCCGACGCCTGTTTGCAGCTCAGCCCACTACAGTTGTTATACATATCGAAAAACCGATAAACTTTTAGGCGAAAAAGGCACTATTCCAGGCCCATTTTTGATTTTTTTGCGATATTAGGTAAAAACAGAAGCTTCTTATCCTAGGAAAAATAAAATGGGAAATCTTTCAAAGGTGGCACACTACCTTTAAGAACAGCGGTAAACGGTGATTGCCACACCAAGCCAATGGACCGAAACAGCGACGCACAGCATAACCGAGCGTAACAGTAGCACCACTGAACGAAGGGAGATTCGATGAGTGAAACCCTTCCTCCGTTTGTGGTCAGTTCATTCAGACCGGACCGATAGATTCTTGAATCGAAGTTAAATGTCCGATCACCACGACGGAGTATAAATAAGACGTCGCGTTAGCATACCATGCTCGACGAAAGCCTGCCAGGGCCTCGTCTAAGGAATTTTCACTGGGGGGGCAGAGACTGAAGGACCCAAACCTAGGGTACCCCCAAATCCTGTTTTCTCACCGGATTTAGGCCACTTGTTTTTCGTCACAGCCCTGAGACCATTATTTTTTTTTTTTTAACAAAAAAAAAGAGCCATGCTCGTATAGGGGGGGGGGGGGTCGAAAAATGTCATGACCCTGACCGTAATGACCTTTGACCTGTAACTTCTTTTCGAGACCATATTTGGCCGGAATGCGATTCGGCGTATGTCGGCTCGCATTAGCCGCGCGTTTGCAGTCTTTTCGTGGTTTCAAGCGTTCAAACATGAAATATGATATTGCTCCCATGCATTAGGGTAGGCGTCAAGGTCACGGTCAGGTCAGGTCATTGGCTTTTGATGACTTCGGTTCACTTTTTCGAGTTTTACATGATTCTAGGCCAGTTTTTGGAGCTGAATTCGAATTTAGCAACCATTTGAACATTTACGAAGTAGTTTTGGTGCCTTCGTAACATGTTACGAAGCTGTCAGAGCCAGAGGCGGTTGCCACCTACTACGAATACCCGGCAAAACCCTTACTGGTTGACCTGACCTGACCTGACCCGACCTGGCCTAAATGCATGAAGACATTATCTGTGATAATTAACTAACATGATATTCGTGATCAGCACCCCGAAAAAAAAAACATAACAGCCACCCTTTACCACGTTGTAACAGGTCCCGCGATTTTCCCGACTTTAGGGTCATAGACCTGACCTGGAAGGTCAACCGAAGACTAAGGCCTTAAAATGAGGCATCATCGGCTTCCTCTCGTGACGGGCAACACGGTGGTTTTCTCCGCGAAGCTCTAGCTCGATCAGGGGCGAAACGGCAAGGGGCAAGGTCCAACCCCCCCCCCCCCCTATACGTTCGCGGCTGGAAAAACACCAATACGGGTGAGAGTTAAGATTAATGTGTTACCCCCTCACATTGCCCCACCAGACAGTGCTAAACATATTTATCCGTGTTGGGCCGTGGGCGTTTGATTGAGTGGGAGGGGGGGGGGGGGCACAAACACGAGTTGGGTCACTGGCAGCTGCCAATTGACAATTTACTACTTGAATCACAGGCAAGATCACAGAATCACATTGGGTAGGTACTCAGCTCTATAAATCACAAAACTCTGGCTTTTCCCGTAGTCATGGAGTAGGAACAGTTTTTGAACAAATAATTTAACGTTTCTCTTTAAATCCGTATAAGACTCCTAACAAAAACGCATTGCAGAGAAGGTAATTTTGTGAGAAGTTCACGTTTTGACTGGGGGGGCAAATGTTGGCGACTGGGGGGGCAATCCGCTCGACTGGGGAGGCAATTGCCCCCCCAGTTAACATGTTAGACGAGGCCCTGATTAGCCTGCTACATCAAAAGGAAAGTTAATGGAGAGTTAGTCGTTAAAAAAGATGTTACTTTTAAGAAGGGAGCCAATGGACTAAGGATTAAAATGATCGGTCGTTAGTTTGAACACGTATCTCAGCATTTTGAGTTCGTATAGCCTTCCCCAAATCCAGACTTCAGTCATTTTTGTCCAGAGAGAACGACCGAGCCCCTGACCGCTCCGACTCCTCCTAGCTCGAGTCACGATGCGAGTCACGACCGTATGAGTCACGCCCGAGTCATTTCGGCGCAGTAGTCGAGGGCATGCCTCCAGACTCGGCGCCTGGAGCTCTGGGCGAGCCGGCCGGAGCAGCTCGGCCAATCAAAACAGTCCCTGTCGACTGCTCAGTGCTGAATCAGAACTGGGGGCGCGCGTCACACTAAAAGCGCTGAGCCGATACTGAACGGGTGATAAGGGCCAGAGAGGACGCGGATCAAACATCAAAAGGGACTGTTACCTTCTGGAAGGGTGTCAAGGTCGTGATAAGTGGGTAACTCATCGTTGAATACTGGATGGATGGCAACAGAACGATACGGTGCGAATTGAGGCCTTTAATTCAAGCCGACTGCAATGCTTAGGTACCGACTAGAATGCAAGGTTGTACTGCAATTCGTGCAGCTATGACCGAGAACAACGTAGACGGTCGGAGACGCTGACGACGTAGCCTAAAATCACCTTATAGCTTCCTATATCTAAAAAATTCCGTTGATGAAAATTATCCAAACATTAAGTGGCTGATAAAAATCAGCAAAAGCATTCGGCAGCTTTGAGGATATCATTCATACTGTCGAGCAAATACCAGCCATCCTGCTGAGAAAATCCATCGTTGGGTAGGTATATCAAATCACTCCTCCAAATAGCAGAAGAGCTCTGTTCCCGACAGGAGGACCGTCTTTCCGACCGGGACGAGGTATAACACATCTCCAGTCCGATTATCACTCTGCAGACATCTGCCCATCACTGCAGGAACGCGGACACCTCTTCACGCCACGGCAGAGTGATGGGCTGTCAGCGGGCGAGGAGCTCGGACGCTAAATGTGGTGTCGGGCGCCCCGTGCCGTAATCAATTTGCAGACGCCTCGTTACGTGCTCAGACACACAGCGGGGAAATTGACAGAAAACGGAGGAAGGAAATTGTCAGCCATCCGGAGGGATGTGCTAGCGGGTAGATGCGGGGCAGTATCTCATCAATAACGACCTGGATAAAATGTAAAATAATCAAGAGAAGACAACGTAACAGGAAAAACAAAAACCTAGGTGGAAGAAACGATGCCTACAGCATCTACAAACGATTCCGAAAAACGAGTAACATTTAAGTTAACTCCCCCGTCGAAGGGCTACATAGCATATCGCAAAGGAAGCCGACAATTTGCAACTTCCAAACGAACTTCAGACCTCCCATTTCCAGAGACAAAATTACGGCTAAGCATCATCCTTCGTTCCAAACAGCAATCTGAATTAGCTTACCCTCTCAAACAAGCCGTCGTTTCAAAATCAAACACCACTCGTCTCTCGGCACCTCAGTGACTCTTCCACCTTTCACACACCGACAACCTCGGATTGCGCTAAGCCCCGACTGGACTATCTCTCGCACAACCAGTCGCGAGTGTCTCGAGCGAGACGCTCTTACGTGAAAAGTTCTCACGTGAGAAGTTCTCTCCCAAGAGGAGCGGAGCAGCTCGGGCCGCGAGTGTCAATTGCGGTTTGCCGTCGAGACCGACCGACTGAGCCGCTTCGGAGTGGGTGCCGCCGCGCGTCGGACCGCGCAGGGTACTCCAAAATAGACCCGCCACAGAGCGGGGCGATCCGGCCCGGCGGGGGCGGCAGTGACGAACCACCGACAGCAGCGATAGGCGGAGGACGGGCGGGGTTCGACAGGATGCGGGACAGAACCCGATTTCAGCCGCTCCAGCGCTCGATAAACGAGGCTCCTGACGGGGATGGCACGAGGTTGGCTGAAGCAGCCGCAGCCAGTTGAAGTCAGTTGAGTGGGACGGACTTCGTCCAGCTTTGATGGGCAGTTTGCGCGCTTAGCATCGGCCTTAAAGCTCCTAATTCCCCATTTATCAGTAAATACTCGAGAGCGGACGGCAATGATCTGTACTCATGCAATAAGCTCTGTTTTGCGCCGGCTGCGGCTCTGTCAATCGGTCCAAACATTCGAACTAATTTTTTACATATTAAAACGTTGTGAGAGGCGAGCTCCAGCCTTCCAGGCTTGAGAGCCTGCCTCCGCCTATGGCGGCCGCCGTCACGTGACCTGCGCCTCGGAGGTCGCGGGGCGCCGCCCGCTGGCGGCCAGTCTTTGCTCGGTGAGTGACGCGCGCGGATCTCACACTGGTGGCAGCGTAGTGAACGGTGCATCGCCGGTGATTGGACGTGCGTACTCGGTGAACAGACGCACCGGTGGAGTGTGGACATTGATTATGGCAGAACGAGGCTCGGACAAGCTGGTGTGGGGGGAAGGAGAGACGATACAGGATTATTTGCGGCGCGTGGATGCCTATGCGCTGTTGGGGGATGAAAAGAAGACCATCGGGAAGACTCTTCTGGGACTCGGTCATCGCATCAGCGTCATCGACTCGCTCAGCGATACGGACAAGAGCTCTGTGACGAATCTGAAGGCGGCCCTGCTGAGAGAGTTCGGCGACACAACCCAACAGAGCCAGCGGCAGTTCCTGACCAGACGGAAGCGGGACGGTGAGACGTACGGCATGTTTCTCTCAGCGCTTCGAGTACTGTTTCAATCTGCCTATGCATCGAGCCCAGGTCAGTCCAACACCGATGAGAATTCGGCAGTGGGGATGGCTCTGATTAAGTCGACGTTCCTGTCGGGTATTGATAGCGGGGTGGCTGGGCAGCTCCGTCTACAGTTCCCAGACGCTAATATCCAAGATTTGCCAACCCATGCGAGGGCAATTGAGGAGGCTATGGGGCTGCGGAATGGAAAAGCGGACGTTTGTCAGGTTGCCGAGCAGTCTGGGAAGCCGGACCAGATTGCTGCGCTTCGCTCAGAGGTGCAAACCCTGACAGAGGCTGTCAACGCCATGCGCTTCGTCGATGCTGGTCGGGGCCGCGCGGCTGTGCCGGTGCTCGGACGCGGCGGCGGCGCTGAGCCGGGTCGCGGTGGAGCGGCCCGGCGTGGGTCACGTGTCCCGCTCGGGGCGCCGCCGGCCGCCCCTGTCTGGACAGCGGCTGGGCGCAGTGGCGCGCACAGGGTCGGGACCTGGGAGGGCGGCCCCGGCGGAGCGGGGCGGGGATGTGACACTGACGCACGGGGAGTCACGTGCTGGACGTGTGGCGAGCCAGGTCACGTGCGAAGGTGGTGCACGCGCGCGCCTCTGGCAAGGGGCCGCGGACGGCCAGCGCCCCTGGTATGCTGGGCGTGTGGCGAATTCGGGCACACCCGCTACCAGTGCTCTACAACATATTTAAACTGAGAAGGGTCGCTGCCACGGAGCGAGCGGCGGCCTCTGGGACAATGGAAGCTCCCCTAAGGACGTCGAACACGCTACACGTACGGGGAAAAATTGGGAAGCTGGACTGCACGTGGATGGTGGACACGGGCGCGTCAGCCACTTGTGTGTCAGCCTCCCTGCCGGGGATTCAGGCGATGCACCACGAACCCGCTGATGTTAGACTCGTGGCCGCCAACGGCTCGCCGCTGGTGTGTCTGGGTGCGTTATGGACTGACGTAATGTTAGGACCAGGACTGATTCGGCACGGCATTAAGGTGTGGGTTGTCGAGGATTTGTCAGCTCCTGGTATTTTGGGAAATGATGTACTTCAGAAGTTCGGGCAGTTTTCAGTTGATTTTGAGGCTCGTGTGTTGGAGCTTGCAGGCCACCGGCTGCCGTTGGAGGCGCGCGCCAGTGGAGCGCCGGTGCACTCTGTGCAGGTGCGTCTGGGACACGACTGCCTTCTGGAGCCGCACTCTGAGCGGGTGGTGGAGGTCAGTGCCGTGGACTTCGGCGCGAATGAGCGGGACGTTGTCTTTGAACCAGACGCTGCAAGCAGCCTGCGTTTGGGAGTAACGCTACCGCCCACAGTAGTTCGGTCCGGTCCTATGAACAGAATGCCTCTGTTGGTATCAAACCGTGGTAATCAGTCAGTTCGCCTATACGGTAACATGACGCTGGGGGAAGTCACAGCTATCCAGGTGACCGAGGGTGAGCAGAATCTGAGGGCCTGTCGACCCGGACCAGCGCAAGTTGACCTTAGCAGCGCGGAGATAAACGAACAAGAGAAGAGAAGTGTTGAGAAGCTGTTCAGCAGATATCGAGCCACGTTTGCAAATAACGATGACGAACTGGGCAAGACACATCTCAGGGAATTCAGGATTGTGACAGGGGACTGTCCGCCTGTCGCTGTTCCAGCCCGGCGCACTCCATACCATTTGCGTGAAGAAGTTGCGATTCAGATACGGAAAATGGAACGGCAGGGTGTCATTCAGAAGTCCAACTCGCCTTGGTCAGCTCCACTGCTACTGGTAAAAAAGGGTGACGGCAATTATCGGTTTGCCATCGACTATCGCGCTCTCAATGCAAAAACGGCAACAGAAGTGGCATACCTCCCAACAGTACGCGAATGTTTGGACAGCCTAGCCGGTTCAAGGTTGTACACAACTCTGGATCTGAATTCAGCGTATTGGCAGGTTCCCATCGTACCGGAAGATCGTAAAAAGACTGCATTCTGCACGGAAACAGACCACTGGGAATTTCTAGTCATGCCATATGGATTGAAGAATGCGCCGAGCTGCTTCACAAGGCTCATTGCTGATGCACTGCGGGGTCTGTTGGGTAACGGAGTGACGGCCTATCTGGACGATATCATTATCGGTGGCAAATCTTTTCAGGAGCACCTGTCGCTGTTGGAAGCGGTGCTGGAACGACTGAAGCAGGCTGGGTTGACGGTGAAAAGTAAGAAGGTGGTTGCCTGTCGGCGGAAGCTCCGTTTCCTCGGGCATCTGGTTGGTGATGGAGTGGAGCCGGACCCGGAAAAGGTGGCGGTAATCAGATCCTGGCCCAGACCTACGTCCACGAAGGAGTTGCGCTCATTCCTCGGTCTCTGTGCTTACTATAACGACTTCGTCCCTGAACTTCAACGGGTAGCAGCGCCGCTGCACAGGATTTCGGGAAAGGCGAAGTTTACATGGGATGCCGAGCGCGAAGCGGCATTTGAAGGGTTGAAGAGGGCCCTCAGCGAGACCACCACTCTACAGTTCCCGAACATGCAGAAGGAGTTTGAGGTCAGTACAGACGCCTCGGATACAGGCTTGGGATGTGTTCTTTCTCAGAGAGACGATTTGGGTAGGGACAGACCAGTCTGCTTTGCATCGAAAGCGTTTACTGACAACGAGAAGAACTGGCACATTCGTGATAAAGAGGCCTTTGCTTTCGTGGTTGCGTTGCGGAAATTCCGACCGTACCTCCTTGGAAAAAAGTTCAAATGGTTTACAGACAATCGAAGCTTGACGTGGCTACATAACACAAGAGATCCTCGAGGCCGCTACGCTCGGTGGCTTGAAGAAATTCAAGAGTTCGATTTTGACGTGGAATATCGCAGAGGGGCAAGCAACTCACATGCTGATGCCATATCCAGATTACGTGTCTGTGTCACACAGGAACATGAACCACGAACTCTGAGCATGGTGAACGAAGTCGACATGGTCTCGGCTCAACAAGAGGACTTGTGTTTGAAGAAGCTGTACAGTGAGATCAGGCTAAAGCGCACCAATGGACCAGAGACGGTGAAGTGGAGGAAATTGGGCTGGGAACCGAAAATCGAACCGGGAAGCGGCCTGTTGGTGGCTACGAGGAAGCAGAAGGAAATGCTTATTGTTCCTGAAAAGTTCATTTCGCTGGCTCTTCGTCTTAAGCATGATGATGCTGGACACTTCGGAGCGAAAAGGACTGGGGTGCTGCTACGACAGGCTGGTTACGGCTGGCTAACGATGAAGGAAGACGTGAAGCACTACTGCCGCAGCTGCGTTACGTGCGCTAAGGCCAACGACCCCCACCGAAGGTACCGCGCTCCGCTGTCGGCAACAACCCAGCCAACCGAGGCCTGGCAGCACGTGTCATTGGACCTGATGGGACCGATCGGCGTCACACCCACCGCCCGAGGTAATCGGTTTATTCTTGTGGCACTGGATCTGCTCACTAAAGGGGTTGAGTTAGTCGCGATTCCTGATAAATCCGCCAAAACGGTGGCTGAAGCGCTGGTTGAGAATGTTTTCTATAGACACGGGCTGCCTGAATCTCTGCTGACTGATCGTGGTCTGGAATTCGACAACCAGTACTTTCTGACACTGGCACGAGCGGTCGGCATTGACCGGAAGAGAATCAGTGCGTTTCACCCACAGAGCAATGGTGCTGTAGAGCGGTGTAACCAAACGCTGGGATCGCTGCTCCGAAGAATGGCCCAGGAAAAAGTAGGTGACTGGGATGATCACCTGTCGCTGGTTCGGTTTCAGTATACGAGGGACGTTCAAAAAGTTCTCGGCCCGACCATGAAGGAGCAGAGATACGACGTCGACTTATTAGACCAAAAATGTTCATTTAGTCAAATAACCACCGTTAAAACAAAAATATTTCGCGCAGCGCTTCGCGAGAGGCCCCTGGGTCTCCATAGCCAAGTGGGTTTTGGACGCATCTGGCACGTCCAAGACGGCTGCTTTTGTCTCCTTGCTGTCAGCGAAGTTGCCACTGCTAAGCAATTT